GATGTTTTGACATTGTCCCATAGGCCCCTGAGGCTTTTTTTTTCCAATCTTTTTTAAATATTTGTCTTTATTTTATTCAATATTTATTTATTTATTTAGCTGTGCTGGGTCTTAGTTGTGGTACGAAGGATCTAGTTTCCTACACAAGGATAGAACCTGGTTGCCCTGCATTGGAAGCATGGAGTGAGTCTTATCGACTGAACCACCAGGCAAGTTCCTTCTTTAAGCTGGGTGATTTCTATTCACCTATCTTCATGTTCATCCATTCCATTCTGAGATTAAGCCCATTCAGGACATTTTAAGATTTCAGATATTGTTTTTTGATTCAGAAATTTCCATTTGATTATTTTGATACATTCTATTTCTCAGGTGAGATGTCCTTTATACCAGTTCATTACAAGCATATCTTTTACTTCTCTGAGCATTGTTTTCATAGCTGCTTTATTGCCCTAGTGTGATAATTCCAACATTTGGGATTGACTACCTTTTCCTTTGAGAGTGACTCACATTTTCTTGTTGTTTTTGTTTGTTTTTTTTGTACATCAAGTGATTTGGATTGCATCCTGGGAACTGTGCATGTTAAACTGTGGAGACTTGGGATTCTGTTATATTCCTCTGAAGAAGGTTGAGGCTTTTGCTTTAGCCGGCTGTTAACTTGATTAGACTCAAATGGTAAGTTCTCTGTTGCCTGCTCTTAGCAGCAGTTCAATTCTTCAAGTTTCTGCTGCTCAGTCTGTACAGTTCATATATTCTTAGAGTTAAGCCAGAGATTTGCATGAAGTTCACTTGGAAAATCAGGAGATTACCATCCCCAGCTGTCTGGGATTCTTCACTCGGCAGTGACCTGGGCTTTGTCCCTGGCTCCTCTGGTCAAATAGATGGTAGGTTTGGGAGAAACCTTCATCCATCTCAGCTGACTGCTCTGCAACTGCGGTTAACCCTCAGGGCAAAGTGAACGGGGGAGAGGGAAAGTTCTGAGCTCCCTGTTTCTGTTCACTCTCCAAATGACCAAGTAGGATTTTTGAGTTTATAGTTATCTGCAGAAGGACTGGTCTGTGGGAATTAAACCACTCTGCTCTGAGTAAAGCCCATTCCTTTCTCTATTTCTTCAGTGTGCACCAGTCTGAACTTTAAGAGAAAAAAAAAAAAAAAGAATTCCTCTTCACCCCTTCTGTGACTTCCATCTGTCTTTTCTTGTGCTGAAACAAAGATGTTCCCTAAAGGTCTATTTTAAGGTTCTGACCTTAAGGCTCTTCCAGGACTGCTAAATTTTCTCAGGAATCTCATTCATTCACATAACCTTTCTTTCTGGGAAGCACTTCCAAGATGCGTTTTTCACTTCTTTTGAGTCCCTCACTTGGATTTTCAGCCCTCTCTTTTCCCATGTAACCTTTGGTCTAGAGTCAGTCCCTTCTCTGGGCTCACCTGCTTTGGTTACCAGTACAGTATTTGTTCAGTAAGCAGGACTTACAGTTACTAAGTCAGGAACACATCCCTTTTAACTCCCAATTTCTTCACTTTGAGTGGAGAACCAAAGATAACACTGATATTATTCACTGACTTGTCATTGACAATACCTAACTCTAAGGACAATCCCCCAAGAACTACCACAAGGCTTGGGAATATGGCCTCTTTTCCTTCCCCCCCTCCCTGTATTGAGTGCTGATGTATTATGTTAATACATTACAATATTGATGTCATCACCAGTATTGCTATACATCGTATTCCACCTTCATTGCCAAGTCCTTATTGAGCAGCTGCTCTGTCCCAGGCAGGGTTCTAAGCATTGGCAAGAGTGGCCAATGAGACAGACACGGCCCTTCCTGCTGTGGAGCTTGCATTCTGGGTGGGGGTGAGTGGTACACATCCAGATCACGGAAAAACAAGCAAAGTCCTTAGTGATACGCTATGAAGGAAATAAGTGAGTGGGGGAGGTGATGCCTGTGGGGGGTGAGGAGCATAACGACAGACAGGTGGGGAAAGAAGGCCATTCTGAGGACGTCTGACCTGAAGCCCCAAAGGACAGGAAGCCACTTCCCATCAGAGACAGCAAGTGCACGGGGCAGTGGGACTGTCAGCAAGAGCGAGGGGGCGGAGCCCAGGCCAAGGGGGCTTGTATGTGTGTAGTCACTAATGAAAATCCACTGATGGAAAAAGAGAATTCACTGATGGAAAAAGAGAATTTAGTCACTAAAATGTTTTCTAGAAAGATGCTAGAGGTCATTTATTAATCTGAGAAAAAGATTCTTCATTTTGTGTGTATATAAATATACCTAAAGAGCTCCCCAATGGCATTAAGACAGTATTTTATGAAGTTATTAAAAAAAAATCAATATTACCTGTCAAGTACTCTCTCTTGCATGTGCAACCAAAACCGCTAAGGTTATCTGAACAAGAAATCCCTGGCGTCTATTACAGAGAGCTTTTAATAGAACTTGCTTTGACAATTTATTCCTAAATCTTCTTTTTTCCCCTTAGCTCAATACAGTATTGCCACTTAATTTCACGACTGCAAAAGGCTGTTTTAGACACTACTTGGGGAATAAGTATTAAGGGTTCAAGTAAATGCAAATGATGTTTTTGCTACCTTTTCTCAAAAGATTTCACATGAGAACAGACTGTAATATTAAATTGTATTATGTATATATAGATTTACAACTCAGTCTGTTTTTCAGGCACATAAGGTAAATGGGGACTTCCCACGTGGGTGAGGGGTAAAGAATCTGCCTGCCAATGCAGGATATGCCAGGAAGTGGGTTTGATTCCTGGGTCAGGAAGATCCCCTGGAGAAGGAAATGGCAATCCACTCCAGTATTCTTGCCTGGAAAATCCCATGGACAGAGGAGCCCGGTGGATTGCAGTCCATGGGGTTGCAAAGAGTCAGACACAACTGAGTGACTGAGCATGCACACAAGATAAATGGTCCTAGTTTTGTTTATTTTATAGTGCTATGAACATTGTTGTTGTTCAGTCACTCAGTTGTGTCTGACTCTTTGCAACCCCATGGACTGCAGCATGCCAGGCTTCTCTGTCCTTCACCGTGTATCCTTTTTAAAAAATTTTTAATGGAATATAGTTGATTTACAATGTTGTATTAGTTTCTGCCATACAGTAAAGTGAATCAGTTACACATATACATATGTCCATTCTTTTTTAGATTCTTTTCCCAGTCCTAGTTATTCAACTCAATTGACATTAATTTGACCAAACTCTGGGAGGTAGTGAAGGACAGGGGAGCCTGGTGTGCTGCAGTCCATGAGGTCTTAAAGAGTCAGACACGACTTAGTGACTGAATCACAACAACAAGTTATTCAGGCTTAAAACTTGAGTCTATCAGGAACTATCTTGGAATACTGAAAATCAAGACATTATGAAATGTTCCACGAAATTTACCACATCCCCCCATCCCCACTCTGCCCTCCAACCTGAGGGGACACATGACTGAAGACTTGAGATGAACTTATTTATTGTAAAAAGCAAATATGGTTAAGATGATCATCTCTTCACGTGTGGTCCACAAACCCATTCCTGAGTCTTGACAGCCAGATTCTAGATCACTGTAAATATCCTTCTTCCTTTAGCAGTCCCTTATTTCTTTTCCAATTAAAATCATTAATTGAAGCGGGGAGCCCTGAGAGAGCAGCTGGCTTCCTACCTCCTGGGGCGGGAACCTGAATAAGGAAGGAAGCATCACCTGCTGAAGCATCTACTGGTGTGGCCAGAGCGATGTCCTGTGGCCCATTATGGTTCAGTTCAGCTTTTCAATTTCCTCCAGTGGAAATTCTCTGCCTGGAACAACCTGTTCCTTGGACAGGCTTTCGCCACCCTGAACCTGGTGTCAGAGAAGGGGCTTCTGGGCCCTGCTCAGGCTTTGCAAACCTTGGGATGAAGTCCCAGGGCCTCTGACTAACACTGAGTGCTGAATATTGATGCTGCTGCTGAATACTGACTACTGCCAAATGCAGGTACAAACCTCTCACTTGTGAAAAATGTTTCCCAGGAAAGAGGATAGCGTTGGGGAACACAGGCTCAGCAGCTGGACTGCTTACACTTCAATCCCGCCTTGCCCACTGTGACCTTGGCCAAGTGGCCCCACTACTCTGAGCCAAAGGACTTAAAACAGTACTTAGCACATAATCAACAATCAAAACCATGGCACTTATGATCATGGTGTGTTTTACTGTTTTATCATGGCATAAGGCACTTTTTAAAAAATATCTCTTTTTAAAAGGAAAAGGAATCGTAAGTGAACACACTGGTAGTTATCAACTATTAGACTTATAATAATTTCCTAACTCCTTTCTGAACCTAACACCACTGGAAAATAATGCTACTTGCTTCCTTTAAAAAATGGTGAGGATTTCATAGGATTCCCTCCTCTTAGTATATTCTTGCTGTGTTTTGAGTCAATTACCTTATTAGGTTTCTGGAAAAGGAGATCTAGAAGTTTTATTTCCATTACTTTGAATTATTTCCATATTCTCTCCCAAACCCAAGTGCCACAGTCTAGAGTATTTCTTACAGGTGACATGACAAGGTGTCTCCATTAGCCCTTGGTGACGAACTCTCCCCAACTGCCCCCAGGAACCCCGAATCTGCACCAACAATTCCAGTTCACAAGTTACGACATCCTAGACCTCAGAAATCAAGGCTTACTGGTTATACCTCTTCCTGAATTCCTCTTCTTGATTTCTTCTAGCCACATCTGTTGTGAAGAAAGGTGAACACAAGGCAAGAATGCAGCAGAACTCTTAAATAGGATCACACTAATTTTGAAAATTTTTAATTTTCTTGCCACATAACAATGAGCTATGGTGTGTCACTGATCTGGAGTATAATTACTTCTTGTCTTTTGTTCCTTATGAATTTACATATCCAATTATCTTTCTCTTTAATTTCTCATGGTTTTGCTACATTGACTAAAACTTTTCAACAAGAAAGTCATTTAATTTAATGGACTTTGCAGTTCATTTGTAACCAGTTTTTTTTTTTTTTTTTTCTTTTTTAGGATGACTGAATGCTACTGCGTAACGCTGTGGAGTTTTCCTGGCAGGATGGTGAGTACCCAGGTTCCTGGTCCACCAGGACATCTGCTAAAAAAGATGTGGATGAACTAATGCAGTGGTCAGGAGCAGTGGAGAAGCAGTGAGGTAGATTAAACAAAGACAATGTTGATTTTAACCCATCCATGCTCCTTGATCAAGGCACCAGCAAGCGCATTTAATCAAAGTTGGTGCCAATTTAGATAACGTAGCCGAAAGCGCTGTTTTTGCCCCGGAGTAATTCATGCTTGGTCTCTGGGGAACTCTGCCTCAGTTCCCATGTCTTCTGTGAAAGCAGAGCTAAGGGTCTCATAAACAGAGGATGATTTCCATCACAGGAGAATGCCCACACGTGGAGGAGTTGTTGCAGCAATGAATGAGAGGGAATCAGGTGTGCCGCCCTTGACTGCAGAGATGGACCTTCAAGGGCTTGGTTCTAGTCTCTGGGATGAGGTTTTCAAATATGGACAATTTATGGCTTCCCAGGTGGTTCTTGCTTGGAAAATTCCATGGACAGGGGAGCTTGGAGGCTATGGTCCATGGGGTCGCAAAGAGACATGACTAAGCGACTGAGCACACGTAGGTGCAAAGGTGACTCTTCTAGCTGCCAAGAAGGTAAACTCAACACTTGACCTGCATCACCTTCATCACTGGTCCCAGACTTTAACAGCAAATGTCAGCGGCTCAGCTTATTAAGATGAGTCTGCGGCTCTAGTAATGGGACATGGTGATTTGTTTTGTTAGGAAGGAAAGGAGATGACCTTCATTTTGCTTAACATTTTGGGAGTCCTGACCACAGTTTATTATAATCAGATGCAGTTTGCTCAAAGGATCATCAGAGATCACACTTGGATGTCAAGGTGTGACTGAAGTTGATAGGTAGACATTTACCAAAGGCTGCCAGAAACCATCTAATGAAGAGCAGAGGTGAGAAACACATCATTAAGAGAACGTATTTAATCACCCATGCAGGGATATTTTAATAACATCATTTATTCTTTCATTCTCAGGCTCCTCCCTCCTCTCTTTTAAAAAGGGAGGGCAGTTCCATTTGAGTATCATTTAGGGCAGGACCCAGTCCTTTAAGCAGAAGGACATAAATTCACAAATCTGCCTGGAACACTTTTTTTTTTAAATTTCAATAACGGGTTGTATGCAGCTACTGTTTCTAACAAAATGAAAAAAAAAAAAAACAGTAGAAGTGAAAAGTAAATCAATCGTAATCAGCGATTAGTTTTCCTTCAACAGATTCATCAGATCGTCTTCTATCCCCTTCTCACTCAGCTCATCTAGGCTGTAGTACCGGTGGACGATTTTCTCAGCGGTGACCACCACGACTCGGAGCCCATGGGCATCTTTGCCCAGCTGGCACCCGATGGCGGATGACACCACCATGTCGAGGTTCCGGTAGGTGCCCCCAGCGTTCCTGTGGTAGTGGCCGGAGAAGACAGCCTTGACACCTGCAGGGGAGGGAGAGAGCGTCAGGGGGCCGAGGATTTCCACCGAGATAACCGGGGGCTCCAAGGGTTTCTTCTGTGAACAGCAGCACGCTGTTAATGATAAATACATGTTATTATTCAGCATTATAGAATAAATATGAAGGTGGCACATGTGACATCTAGACTCTTTCCAAGGATGACTCAGTACATGATGCACTATTCACCCCTCTGTCTGCCTTGCACAGGCAATGCTAGGGAATGAGTAATGTGCAGTATGTACACGTGCTCAGCTGCATCCGACTCTTTATGACCCCGCGGACTGTAGCCTGCCAGGCCCCTCTGTCCATGCAATTTTCCAGCAAGGATACTGGAGTGGATTGCCATTTCCTACTCCAGGGGATCTTCCCGACTCAGGGATCGAACCTGTGTCTTTTGTGTCTCCTGCATTGGCAGGCGGATTCTTTACCACTGAGCCACCTGGGGAGCCCCAAGGAACAAGGAGAGAGAGGGTGATGAGGTGAATGACTCTGAGAGAGATGAAGGAAACCGAGGGTTCTCTGAGGCCTACACACATAGCCACAGAAGGCAGAAGGTACATGTCCATGAAAAATAGCGTTTATGGAGCGCTAATCAAGACAGCACAGCAAGGTTAACATTCAATGCAGCTCTTCCTCTCCAAACTGAGAGCCACGGTGGGTAAAATACAAAAAAAGAAACCAAAGGACAGAGGGAGCCTTCAAAACCAAAATAAATAGCTCTAGCGGCCAGAAAAAAAAGCAGAAAGACAGAGTAGTGAGTGGGAGCTGAGCTCTTATAATCGAGACTGAAAGCACTTTTTCTGAGATAAGGAAATAAAGGTTGGCTCCTGGCAGAAACAGGGGAGCCTCAATACCTCCACTTATGGAAGGAGACTGAAGGAAAACTCTGCTGCCCTGGGTCAGGGCAGTGCTGGGCTGGTGTGGTCAACAAGCAATCCAAAAGAAAAAAAAAAAAGAGAGGCTTGACTTGTAAAGAGTCAAACATGACTTAGCGACTGAACAACAACAAAATATACAGCGGAACTATGTGTGACTTTGTTCTGTATTTTCCATGTCTTTTGTAAATATGTCATCACACCTTCATAATTTTAGAAATAAGAAAAAATAGGCAAAGAAAAAAAAGAAAAAAAAATTGTGTCTCCCTTCCACCACCACACACACACTGGTAAGTGCTGAGTATGTTGAGTATTACCTTTGCTTCTTAATATAATTTATTTAACGATGAGTTCATACAATTGAATTGTAGTAATGGCTTTTAACAACCAACTCACATAGCTCCTTAACATTTAATCACTGGTGTTCCTGTGCTGGTAGGAGGTGCCTCCAGCCCAGCACCAGGTGAAGGCTGACTGCAACCCATGGGCCTAAGGAGGGAAGACAGACACGGGCTCAGGTCAAGGAGCCAAAACGTGTTTCCCCAGGCTGACTGTGGGACCNGGCCTAAGGAGGGAAGACAGATACGGGCTCAGGTCAAGGAGCCAAAACGTGTTTCCCCAGGCTGACTGTGGGACCAGGACTTTAAAGCAGTATTACAAAGCCTGGTCCCAGATGGATACTTTTGGGGTGGAAGTAACCAAAACCACTGGACAGAGAGAAGTTAGTCAAGAGAAAAGTGAGGGAAAAATAAAACTCCAAAATGCTTCTTACTCAAATTGAACCTGAAATAAAAAATCCTACCAGCCATGAAAATCTCATGCTAAGTAACAAACTTTTCAATCAGGGACATGAATTCATGTCATGGGAAATCAATGACATCAACAAGTCTGGAAAATATTTAAAATAAATATTTGGCTCTCAAATATTCTCAATAAAGGACTAATATCTGTAAAATGGAACAAGATGTTATGAAACAAAAAAGGCATGAATTGAATAAGAATCGTTGGTAATGAAAATTTAGAAATGGTGAACATAAAAGTTAAAGTTTTAAAACAAAACTCTCAATAAATTGGATAAGTTGTAGACTAGACGCTAATCATATAGGGCACCGTGAGTGAAGAGGAAGAACTGAGAAGCTGAATCAGAAAACAACATAGAGATCCAGACTCAAGCAATACGAATGAGCAATTCACAGAACCCAAAGGATGGGTTAAGAGGTATCAATGAAGGCTTAAGAGGAAATGGAACAGAAGGAAGGAGGCGATAATAGTAAGAACAATTTGAAAAAATAATAGCCAGGAATTTTCCAGAAGGGAGGAACATATGGGTTTTCAAAAAAAACAGTACTAAGAAGGATATATAAAAATCAATTCACACTGACATATGTCATGGTAAAATTATGGAGCATCAAAAAGAAAAGTTTTCAAAAGACATCATGGCAAAAATATTACAAAGGAATGACAATTAGACAGGTAGCAGGCATCTCAATCATAAAAGAACCCGGGAGTGATACCTTCAAAATGCTTAGGGCAAGTAACTGTGAACTCCATTTTTTTACTTAGCTAAACCATCATTCAAATTTAAGGGCAAAATAGATACATGTTTGTACATATAAAGACTAAGAGTCCACCACTTCTCAAAAACATTACGCTAAGTTAAGAAATGTCCAGAATGGGCATATCCATAGTGAAAGAAAGCTCACTAGAGGTTGCTGGAGGAAGAGGGGAAAGAAGGAATGGGGATGACTGCTAACAAGCACAGAGTTTCTTTGCAGAATGTTAAAAACGGTCTGGAATTAAGACAGTGGCAATGGTGGCACAGTTCTGTGAATATATCAAGACCACTGAATTTTGTAGTAACTTTTACTGAATTTTTTGAGTTCCTTGGACAGCAAGGAGATCAAACTTGTCAATCCCAAAAGAAATCAACCCTGAATATTCACTGGAAGGACTGATGCTGAAGCTCCAATACTTTGGCCATCTGATGTGACAAGCTGATTCATTGGAAAAGACCCTGATGCTGGGAAGGATTGAGAGCAGAAGGAGAAGGGGGCGACAGAGGATGAGATGGTTGGATAGCATCACCGACTCAATGGACATGAATTTGAGCAAGCTCTGGGAGATGGTGAAGAACAGGGAAGCCTGGCGTGCAGACAGGGTCACAAAGATTTGGACATGACTTAGCGACTGAACAACAACATGATTGGGATTAAAACAGTAATTGACCTCTGTGATCATAATTATGGCATGAGAAAAACATCAGATAGCTCCCAGTAGACCCTTTAACTTCATGACTGCAGTCACCATCCATAGTGATTCTGGAGCCCAAGAAAAGAAAATCTGTCACTGCTTCCACTTTTCCCCCTTCTATTTGCCAGTAAATGCTCTATAAAATACCTGACCAGTACTTCTCAAAACTGTAAAGGTCATCAAAAACATGGAAAGTCTAAGGAATGGTCACAGTTAAGAGGCATCCACACCATGGAACCCTACTCAGCAATGAAAAGGAATCAACTACTGACAGATGCAATGTCTTGAATGGATATCAAGGAAATTTCACTGATCTAAAAAAAAGCCAACTCAAAAGGTTCCATACTGTATGATTCCATTTACCTAATTCTTTCTTTATTTGGCTATGCTGGGTCTTCATACTGCAGTCACCATCCATAGTGATTCTGGAGCCCAAGAAAAGAAAATATGTCACTGCTTCCACTTTTCCCCCTTCTATTTGCCAGTAAATGCTCTATAAAATACCTGACCAGTACTTCTCAAAACTGTAAAGGTCATCAAAAACATGGAAAGTCTAAGGAATGGTCACAGTTAAGAGGCATCCACACCATGGAACCCTACTCAGCAATGAAAAGGAATCAACTACTGACAGATGCAATGTCTTGAATGGATATCAAGGAAATTTCACTGATCTAAAAAAAAGCCAACTCAAAAGGTTCCATACTGTATGATTCCATTTACCTAATTCTTTCTTTATTTGGCTATGCTGGGTCTTCACTGCAGCACATGGGATCTTTAGCTGTGGCATGCAGGATCTAGCTCCCTGACCAGGGACTGAACCCAGGCCCCTTGCATTGGAAGGGCAGAGTCTTAGCCACCGGACCACCAGGGAAGTCCCCACTTCCATTACATTCTTAAGGTGGCAACATTACAGATATGGTTGCTAGGAGTTAGGGACAGGGGTGCCGGGGGGTTGGGCATGGGTGTGGCTACAGGTGGGATCCTCACGGTGAAGGGATTATTCTGCATTTGACAGTAATTCCGGAAAGCATGATGAAAACACGTCCAAATGGTAAGCCCTGCTCATCAGTAGGTCTGGGAAACTTGGTAGAGAGCCCTGAAGACTACAGGTACTGTCCTGCAGTAGGAACTGAGACCCACCTGTACATAGGTGTGGCTGTCTGCCGGCTGGGCCCACAGCTAGGGGTGGAAAGAAAGGTGGCCCAGGTTTCCCTACTTGAAACAGCCAAGGGTGGGGGGACAGTTACTTCCACTGACTGTTACTAAGATGCAAACGGATACAACTCATTTCACAGTTCATTAGGTGCAACTGGCTTCTCACATTTTCTTGTGCATTCCCCTAGACCCATGCCAACATTTTCACACAAACATATCCTTTGGAAACACCAGGGAAGAGCCCACAGGGGTAGGTGTGTTGTGTCTGTGGTCATAAATACAGAGTGTGCACAGAGGCATTATTTATAATACCCACTTACAGGAGACTGGATAAATTATAGTATGTGTATTTTTTTTTTAAAAAGAGGTAGATTTACATACACCAGTGTTGATAGGCACCAAATATATTATTAAGTATGAATAGCAAGATGTAAAAAAAAATTGTGTGGTCCTGCTTTTGTAAAATAAACATAACATCCATATGTAAAACAGATACCTAGTGGGAAGTTGCTATATAACACAGGGAGTGCAACCTGGTGCTCTGTGATGACCTAGAAGGGTGGGAGGGAGGCTCAGGAGACAGATTTCTGTATATATGTACACACACACACACACACACACACACACTTGGGGCTGACTCCCGTTGTTGGATGGCAGAAACCAACACATCACTGGAAAGCCATTACTCTCCAACTAAAAAAGA